AGTGAGATGGATTGGCCAAGTGGCAGTATCAATGGGCTCAAGCGTGGCAACAACTGTGAGGTTGGCCCAGCATCGGGCAGTGTTTCATACTGACTCGATGGCACCTAACAGCAACAACAACAAGGAGATTGGAAGAGACCATCCAATTCCTCTTCCACTGCTGGGAAGGGGTGTGCATGGCCTCTGATGGGCAGTCTGACCTGTGAGCGTGCACTGAAACCATTCACTCACATCCTTGTCTTAAAGTCCAAGTGTCGCCATAACAATATTTCACACCTAGGTGCCTTACAACTACAGACATTAATTTTGTATCCAAGTTTATTTTGGAGGCCAGAGTCCTAAATCAAAGTGCTGGCCAGATTCATTCTTTCTGGAGGCTCTGAGAGAGGATCTGTCCTATGTCCCTCTTTCAGCATCTGGTGGCTACCAGTGATTCTTGGCTTGTAGCCTCATCTCTTCATCTCTGCCTCCATCTTCACTTGTCTTCTCATTCTATAATGCCACCAGTCATTGGTGTCTTTATCCAGTGTGATCTCAACTTACTCCCATCTGGAAAGACCCTATTCCAAATAAGGACACATTCTGAGGTTCTGGATAGAAATAATTTTGGGAGGGAGACTCTATTCAATCAAAACAAGACTGTGGGACATGGAATTGCCAGGAGTTGAGTGCTTGCTTGACAACAATTAATAACCACATGTATAATTGAAAACACTCTTTTCTTTTACATACGGGAATCACAAAAGGTGGGAGGGCCCTGTTTAAAGAATCGAGGCTCTAAAGTATGTTGAGCAGAAATAAGGGATCTCCCTTCCTTCCCTCAAGGTTACTACCTGGCTAGGTCAGTTCCCCTGACCAAGGACAGAGATACAACTCAGGGATTCAAGAGTTGTAATGAAGAACATCTTTGGTTTATGATGCTGTCCAGAGAAAATATAGTTCATCCATTTTCTCATTCCGATGTGAACAGTTTCTTATTTCAAATGGCTCTGGTTTTTACAAGACAGAGTTTGTTCTTTATCACAGTGTCTATGTTCTGTAATATGGCGCTGTAGGGTAATGCACTGGATGGCACGATCGGTTTGTACCACAAGGTCGGCAGTTCAAATTCACTAGCAGCTCCTTGAAAACTCTACAGAGGGTCGCTATGAGTCGGAACTGACTCGAGGTCACTTAACAACAACACGTTCTTTAGTGATGCTGTAACAGAAAAACCACACAGCATGGCTTTAACCAACCGACATTTATTCTCTCACAGTTTAGCTATACTTTCAAGTTTAAGGTGTCAGCTCAAGGGAAAGACTTTCTCCCTCTTTCAGCACTGGGGCAGGTCCTAGTCATTCATCTTCCCCCTGGGTCTAGGAGTTTCACAGCAAAAGGACCCCAGGTCCAAAGAATGTGCTCCACTCCTGGCTCTTCTTTCTTGGTGGTACTGAGGTTCCTCTCTGCTCAAATCTCTCTCCTTTTATCTCTTGTAAGATAAAAGGGGGTCCAGCCACACCGCAGAATAACTCCCCTTACATCGGATCAGGTCTGGGATCCGAGTAAGGGTGTTGCATCTCACCCTAATCCCTTTACAACTGACTGCCTCGAATACATCAAATCACATGCTTTGGGATGATTTCATCATTACAGAACTGCCAAATTACATCATTGCAAAATTGCCAAGCCACTGAAAATCATGGCCCAGCCAAACCGACATGTATTCTTGGAAGACACAATTCAATACACGGCATACAGTATCAACATCATGTACCGGGAAGACCCTCCTACTGACCAGGGTGCTCCTAAGACAACAGGTGGACCTCAAATGGCAATTAGGGGCTCAGGATTGTGGCATAACTGTGCTCACGGAAGATCTTCTGGTCATCATACACCAGCTGATGAACAACTGCTGTGCATCTCAAAGCATGCTCCATGAGGTTTCATTCACAATATGTGTATGATATGTGGGGCAGTGGTGGTTCAATGGTGGGATTCTCATCTTCCACGTTGGAGACCAGGGTTCAATACCCAGCCAACCCATGTACAGCCAATGCTGATCTGTGGTAGCTTGTGTGTTGCTAAGATGTGGAACAGGTTCCCAGGAGTTTTAATTTCCAGACTAAGACAGGAAGCCCTGGTGATGAATTCTGAAGACGAACCAAGGAAAACCCTATAGACCCCAGTGATCTGTTCTGCAGCTGGTAATGGCGATGGTACAGGACTGGGTAATGGCTTGTTTTCTTGTGCCGGAGGTCCCCATGAAGTGGGAGACTACTCTGTGGCAGTGAATGACGTTTATGGTTTAGCATCCTTCTCATACTGGATGGTTCCTACCTCTTGTGTCACCGTTTTCTATCTTCAGCTACAAGTATGTAGATTTATTCATGCAACAGAAGGTGTGGATGTGAAAGGTTGGGAAGGGAAGGGATTCTGGACTCCTTTTGTCTTGAAATTTAGGGCTGGACTGGACAGGGTTTGTGGTTCTTTGTCATCCAGCTTCCTTCCCTCCCCCTGCCCATCCTCCATGTCCCAGCCTTTCCAGAGTCCCAGCAAGATAGAAGACGCTCTTTTGGTGTGAATGAGGCCCGGGCCTCTGTCTAAATCATCATCCTGATTACCCCCAACTACAGAAGTACTTCAGACATGTTGTCAGGAGGGACCAGTCGCTAGAGAAGGAGATCATGTTTGGTAAGTGAAGGTTCAGAGAAAAAAGAGAACGAACCCCAGAGAGATGGATTGGCAAAGTGGCAGCATCAATGGGTTCAAGCGTGGCAACAATTGTGAGGTTGACCCAGGACCGGGCAGTGTTTTGCTCTGTTGTGCATAGGGTCACTATGAGTCAGTACCGGCTCGATGGCACCTAACAACAACAACAACAACAGAAGTGCATCAGAGTACTGGTGTGGCACTGTGGGTTAATACGCTGGATTGTAAAGTCAGTTTGAATAATAAGGGTGGCGGTTCAAGCTTGCCAGACGCTCCTCGGAAACCCTATACAGGATCACTATGAGTTGGAACCAACTCTATGGCACTTAACAACAACAACAGTGATACTTCAGCCTGAACTTTGATGTTTGTTGTTAGGTGCTGTTGAGTCGGCTCTGATGCATAGCAACCCTGTGCTTTGCTGACCCTCTATTGCACCAACCTAAACTTGCATTTGGTGAGGGGTTCCACAGCTGGCCCCAGATAATTTTTTTTTAACTCAAAATTTGGATTCCTTGTTTGGAGTGATTGGTTTAACTGTTTACAGGCTGATTTGGCTTCTCTCCCTTGTGTTATAGTAAATGCTGTATTTCCCTATTTAGTTTCCTATTCCATCGTTGCTGCCACACACAGTGTGAGGAACTGCACCTGCTGTCAGCTGGATGTATCCTAGGTCTTGGCTGATGTTGTTGAGTTTCTGCATCATCTGTTTCCACAACAGCAACATCAGCAACAACACAATGCTACTTCCCCACTGGGGCCTGATGTATTCTGTGGCTTGGCATGGGGGTGGCCCAAAAGAGACAGGTAGACAAAGAGGAAATGAACTACTGGGACTTGGGAATGGAGCTGTTTTCTGACCTTTGGTCTTACACCTGGGGGCTATGCATACTGACTCCCCACCTCCCACAGACCCTACCCATTGAGGCAGGAGTGGAGGGCGGCCCCTCTGCATTTGATTTGATGGGAAATTGATCGGATTTCTGCCCATCTCTGTTTAGCACCTGAGTGTCCCCCAGTGAGGGCTCAGCCCTGTGTCAAGGCCTGAGAGTGGAATACCTGGAGACTGATGTCTAGCCACTGGTCTGCTGTTCTTGGGTGGCTTCACTGCTTCCTGCTCAACTTTGCCTCTGGGCCACCACTGATTGAGCCTCTCATATTACGGCTACCAACTTCAGGAAGGGTCTGTGTTCCATGGGATACCTGGGCAAGACCCACCTGGATTCTTTCTTCTCTCTGCTTAATTTCACATCAATCATGTGAAGGATGGTTTTCCCCTAAAACTCCGTGTGTCTGTGTGTGTGTGTGTGTGTGTGTATGTAGGGAAGGGATGTGGGCAGGGTGGTGGGAAGGAAACATGGGAGAAAGCTAACACTGACTGACCAGCTACTGTGTGTCAGGTCCTGGTAGATGCTTTCCCCAGACAGTAGTGACAGCTCTGCTCCTCTGTGGAGCGACGTCTAAGTCCACAGTGACTTTTTCCTTAATACATTTATTTTCATTCTGCATAATGTTAATGTCTTAACTATAGATAGCACCTTTCACATTTCCCAGTATTTTTATGCCTGTGACTTTTAATCCTCACAACAACCCCATTTTACAGAGGAGGAAACGGAGGCAGGGACAAGGCAATCAATTGGCTTAAGTTGTGCAACTAGTTATGGACTGAGTTGGAAGCTTCCTGAAATGCCTGGACAATCCTGCCTGGAACAGCTTGCTAGCTGCAGGGGCCCAGCTACCCCCAGGTGAATTTTGAGGTCCTTGAAGATGGACACTGGACCTTTTCTCTCTTTTTCCTTGTCTACAGTGCTCAATGCTGAGTATACAGTAAGGAACCAGTAAGTGTTTACTTCTCATGAAACACTGTATACTTCCCTCTGAGAGACGAGCCTCAGAGTGCTAACTTCTTCAGAAATCCTTCAGATTTCATCAGAACTTGAGAAGTCAGCCTCCAAATTCCTAGCTGAGTGGATTAAAGAAACCTACCAAATTAGTCACTCAGTCAGCCCTGGGAACAGGTCTCCTGGAGACATGAGCTGTCATGCTGGGGCAGGGCGTACACTTGAGGCACAAGCTCATCTCCTGATCCTACTCCTGCACTGCTAGTACAGATGTTGAGAATGATAATACTGCCATGTGTTTCCTGCAGCCTGGCTGGGATTTGTGAAGAATGCTCACTTGTTGCCCAGGGTTTGTTCACACACGGGGAATACCTCCCAGTCTTCCATGGGCACCCAATGGTGAGCAATTGTCCGTCATCCTCAGAGAAATTAGCAGCAGCAGTCCTGGGGGCATCGTTCACTTGGCTGCACCCCACCCACTCAGGCAGTTTTGTGAATCTGGCGTTCCATGGAGATGGAGGTCCTCAGCGTGCTCAGGGAGTTCTCTATGTGGGTGGGCTCCGGCCCGCAGCCCTCTTTCCCACATAGTCTCCCATACACCTCCCATGATTTCTTCCGGAAGCGTTTGCCCACGATGACGTACACCAGCGGGTTGAGGCAGCTGTTGCTGTAGCCGATGTAGGTGCTGATCTGCGTGAAGACGTCGATGTTATGCGCTTCCTGGCAACTGGTGAACATGCCCAGGCGGTGGAGGGTGTCCAGGAAGGTGCTGATCTGGAAGGGCAGCCAGCAGACGACAAACAGGAGTAACACAGACAGGACCAGCACTGTGGCCTTCCTCTCCGTCTGGATCTCCTTGAACTTCTGCATCTCATTGTTGCGCAGTACCTGCATGATCCGCACGGTGCAGAAAGTGATGATGGTCAGGGGCAGGAGGAAGCCTACAAAGTTCAGGAGGACGTTGGTGAGCACCTCCCAGGTCGTGGACGGATAGATGATGATGCAGGCCGTGACGTTGTAACCCTCACTGCTATAGTCCTTCATGGTCCGGAACACCAGCATGGGGGAGCTGAGCAGCAGAGTGCACCCCCAGATCACCAGGCTGTAGAGTTTAGCACAGCGCACCCCACGCGTGCGACCTATGGACATGGTTTTTACCAGGGCTAGGTAGCGGTCAATGCTCACTAACATCAGGAAACAGATGCTGCTATACAAATTCATGGAGGTCACTGTGTTCACCACACGGCAAAGCACCTCCCCGAAGAGCCAGTCGAAGTTGTTGGCCATGGTGATGGCCCAGAAGGGCAGTCCGCAGACCAGGATCAGGTCTGCCATGGCCAGGTTGCCCAGGTAGATCTCTGCCACCGTGCAGTTGCTCTTGTGGAGACAGAAGACGCTGAGGACAAAGATGTTCTCCAACGCAGCCAGCATGAAGATGACCCAGAGGAACGGGGGCTGGATGGTGTTAAGCAAGTTGGACCATTCCACGAAGGAGCATTCTTCGCTCGGGGGAAGGGTCATATTAAGAGCAGATGTGAGCACGGGGGAGGTGATGTTGAGCATCTCCGCGCTGAAAGAAAGTGGCAAAGGGGTTAGACCTCAAAAGTCACGAGACAAAGGAGAAGTGGGGGGACTAAGTCTTGGCTGTTGAGTCAATTCCATCTCATGCTCTCTAGAACGCCTGAAGCTGTAAATCTTTATGGGAGCAGACAGCCTCATCGTTCCTTATAGGGAGACCTCGGAAACCCTATACAGAGTCACTATGAGACAGAAGTGAATCGGTGATAGTGCATTATTTGTTTGACCTAAAGGTTGGCAGCTTCAACACCCCCATGGATGCTGGGGAAGAAAGGGCAGGAAATCCGCTTCCATAAAGGTTACAACTAAGAAAACTCCATGGGGCCGTTCTACTCTGCAACATATGGGGTCCCCTGAGTCAGGATCAGCTCAACAGAAGGGGGCTTACTTAATCTATTTTTGGTTCTATTCAGTAGACAGTTTCTGGAAGTTGAAGTTGGAAGTGGAACTTGGGTCTTTTTCTGGAACCTTCTATTCAGGGTTGTATGTCCCAGTATACCCGACTCCCCAGGGGTCTTAAAGGACCCTTCTGCTTCTAAACGGAGACCTCACTTTCTTGGCCTCATGTTTCCTTTGGGCTGTCTCCTTGACCAGGTTCCACCACCAACACTAACGGTCATGAGTGTTGGATCCGGGACCTGCCTGCAGCTTCCAGGATAGGAGGATGTGCTGCACATTCTTTCCTTATCATAGGAGTCCCTCCCAAAGGAGCCTGTGGTTTGTTAGCCGGATAACCTGCCCACGTTTGAGTAATTTATCTAAGAGAAAAGTGATCCCATGCCAGACAGGAGATCCCAGCCTGCTCTCAGTGTCACGAACCATGTGCCACACCCCATCTCCTTGGAAATAATGTCTTTTCTGGCAAAGGATAGCATGATGCTGCCAAGTCCACCATCAGCGAAGCCTTGATGAGGATCAGGATGCTGGAGCCAGGCAGTCCCTCTGGGTTCAAATCCTGTGTGACCTCAGGGAAGTTTCTTAACTTCTCTGAACCCCAATGACCTACCTCATAAAATGAGGATGACAAGAATGACTTCCCAGGGTTGTGGCGGGACTCAAGATGCCCCAAGGGTGTCACTTGGTTCAATAAACATTAAATGTGATCTTTATAATGATCAATTTTGGTCCACCCGTTAAAACAAACAATGTCAAACTACAGCGTCACTTTTTACAAGTTCTTGCTTTTGAATCAGGGATGTCATCATTCATCCACTGATTCCTCTTTTTTTCTTGGGCAAGAGCATGGGATGCCCCACTTTCTAGAAGAGTCACTGATAGGATGAGGCCATTTCTACCCCAACCATGAGGCATGGAACATCATGGAAAGAAGAGAAGTTGGGCAGACGCATATGCGAGTCCTAGCTGTGTGGTCTTGGGCTAACTGCATGGCTTAACTGAACTTCCATTTGATTTTCTTTGGAGTAGCTAGCCTTGTAGTGCTGTTGTGAGGTTCAAGTCCAAGAATGTATGGGAAGATACCTGGAGGAGTCTAAAGCACAGTCCAGATAGTGGGGCTAGTTGCACCTTTCCCCAATACCTAGTGGGGTGAGTGGGATAGAGAGTTTCACCCTAAAAAGTCAGCTGTGGAGTAATGCAGTATGGGCAGACTCCACTGATGGTCTATGAGACTTCCCAGGAAAAGTCTTTTTGCCTCCTGCAATCTCCGGCCAGCTTCCTGGCTCTGCCTTGGGAACTTGCGATGGAATCTTTAGTCAATGAATCCATCCTTTAAGTGCCTCAAGCATCTGCTGCTTGATGAGCAGAAAAGGACACAGAAAGGGGCACCTTGGGGCCTTGCTCCGCAGGAACGCCCAATGTAACTGTCCAACACTGTGGAGGTAGAGCAGGGAGGGGCCCAGGACCCAGATGGGGAGAAGCTGGCTCTGGAGCTGGGCCTTGAAGGAGCAGGAACGGTTCATCAGGGGACAAGAAGAAAGGAGGGGAGACTAGGCAGAGAGAGCAGCTGAAACGACTCAGTTTATGAATGAAGAATTAGATATTGGATGGAGCAGTTCAGGAATCTCAAGAGATGAGGTTGAATAGGGAAGAAGGCTGGTCTTCACTGGTGGCAAAGTGGTTAAGTGCTCATCTGCTCACTGAAAGGTTGAGTGTTGGAACTCACCAGCTACTCCATGAGAGATAGAAGTCTGCTCAGGTAAAGACTGGTTCTTGTTGGTGTTAGGACCTTACATACAACAGAGTGAAACACTGCCTGGTCCTGTGCCAATCTCACAATTGTTACTAAGTTTGAACCCATTTCATCAGCCACTGTACCAATCCACCTTGTTGGGGGTCATCTTCTTTTTTCTGATCCTCCACTTTACCAAGAATGATGTCCTTTTCCAGGGACTGGTCCCTTCCTGATAATATGTCCTAAGTATGAGGGACAAAGTCTGGCCATCCTGGCTTCTAAGGAGCACACTGGCTGTACTTCTTCCAACACAGATTTGTTTGTTCTTCTGGCAGTCCATGGTGCTTTTAATATTCTCCTCCAACACCATTATTCAAATACATAAATTCTTCTATGGTCTTCCTTATTCATTGTTCAACTTTCACATGCATATGAGGTTATTGAAAACACCATGGTTTGGGTGGGGCACACCGTAGTCCTCAAACTGACATCTTTGCTCTTCAACATTTTAGAGAGGTCTTGTGCGGCAGATTTACTTATTGCAATATGTCATTGGATTTCTTGACTGCTGTTTCCATGAGTGTTTGTGGTTGATCAGAGCAAAATGAAGTCTTTGACAACTTCAATCTTTTCTCCATTTATCATGATGTTATTTATTGGTCCAGTGGTGAGGATTTTGTTTTCTTTACATTGAGTTGCAACCCATACCAAAGGCTGTGGTTGTTGGTCTTCATCACTTTCAGCAAGCAAGCTTGTATTATCTGCATATCACAGGTTGTTAATGAGTCTGCCTCCAATCCTAATGCCATGTTCTTCTTCATATAATCCATCTTCTCAGATTATGTGTTCAGAGTACAGTTTGAATAAGTATGGTGAAAGGATACAACCCTGATGCACACTTTTCCAATTATTAAACCATTCAGTTTCCCTTGTTCTGTCTCTTGGTCTATGTACAGGATCCTCATGAGCACAGTGAAGTGTTCTGGAATACTCATTCTCTGCAATGTTGTCCATAGCGTGTCTCGATTCACATGTGATCCAAAATGTACAGCCTTGGAAACCCTATGGAGCACTCTACTGTCCTATAGGGTCAATTTGAGTGGGAATCTGCTCAATGGGAATGAATGGGCTTGGTTTTTAAATTTGGTCAATTAGTGCCAAGGATGGAAAATCTGGTCCCTGAGGTCTTTAAGAAGTGCAGCCAGAGTGCTCCTTGGAGGCCAAGATGCCAAACTTCATCTCTCATACTTCGGACATATTGTTAGGAAGGACCGGTCCCTGGAGAAAGATATCATGTTTGGTAAGGTGGAGGGTCAGAGAAAAAGAGGAAGACCCCCAACGGGATGGATTGACCAAGTGGCAGTATCAATGGACTCAAGTGTGGTAACAGTAGTGAGGTTGGCCCAGGATTGGGCAGTGTTTCATTCTGTTGTGCACAGGGTCGCTATGTGTTGGTACCGACTCGATGGCACCTAACAACAACAACAACATAGGGTGTGAGTGAGAGTGACATTGGGGTATGTGACCTTACAGACCCAGCTGGTAGTAGGTCGCTTTGAGCCCTGCTTGCTTGTATATCAAAAGAGATTGATTCAAGATAGAACCTTAATTCTGTAGGCAACTGGGAGTCATTGAAGGTTCATAACCCAGTGGACGACAGATTTAAAAGCTGTTCTATTCACTTTGTTTTGTGTCAACCTGAGGCCCCCCTCTTCCTTAGAGATACTACTTGGAAGCTGAGGGTGGTCCTGGACACCAGGGAAAGTTCAAATGGATGAGCCCAGGGATGTCCAAGGAAGCCAGGGGTGGCAGGCCCCTCCTCAGAGCTCTGCTGGGAGACCCTAGGTCTGATATTTGAATTTTTTTTTTTTTTGCAGCTACAGAAACCCATTTGCTCAGTGCTCTAGACCCGGGGAGTTACTTGTCATGGTCAAACTCACTAGAGAACAAAGCTAACACAAACACCAGATGCTGTTGGTTAATTTCCCAGCAGGACGGCACACTGGCTGGTGGCTGGTTCTGCAGCAAGTCTTGAGGTTGTCAAAAGGTGGCCTGGTGAAATCAGAATTGGAAGTCATTGTGTTCAATGGGCCAGCGCTGACACTCCTCAAGATTGGTTAGCCCTCCCATTCGTCTGCCTCCCTTTCTGACAATTCCTCCACACTTCTCTCCTTACTGACCATCCGTCAGAAACGAGCAATGTATTGGAGGCATTGTCTCACGGTGACCGTGCACATCTCTCTCTGATCTGCTGAGTATGGATTTACGGGATTAACACTCTTATCTTCATTTCCAGGAGCGAGGCTCCATATGATAAGCAATGGACTGCGAACCACAAGGTCTATGGTTCGAGACCACCAGTAGGAGAAAGATGAGGCTTTCTGTCCCCACAAAGATTTAAAGCCTTGGAAACATTATACAGCATCGCTATGACTTAGAATCAGCTCGATGGCACTTTAACAATAACAACCATCATCATTTTCAAGTTCATCACACCAGGGATGCTTCCTCCCCCTCTCCTACAACCCACAGAACAACCCACTTCCTGTCTCCCCATAGGGGATTTCAGAGTGCTTGGCTTTGGGTTTAATGTTACCTGTCTCTTCAGGATTGAGATGAGGATACAGGTTTCTCAGTCCTGAGTCATGTTTTCCTGGTCATTTTCCAGGTTGCCTGTGCCTCCCATAAATGACAAACTAGGGGACCCTTGGACTCACCTGAAGGGGGTCGAGGTAGGCTCTGAGTTCTCATGAAAGATCATGAACATAGGTATCTTCCAGGCAGAGAACATTTGGAGTTGGAGTGTTGTCTCCTGGGTTAACTGGAAGAGAAAAGGTGGTTTAGATGGAGGCCGGGGTATCAGACACATGCCTTCTCTGCTCTGCAAGGGGAAACAGTTTTACTGGACTACGGACTCGTGGAAACCCTGGATGTGCAGACTAGAACTGCTCCGGTGGGATTTCAAGGCTGGGACCTTCAGGAAGCCGATCACCAGGCCTTTCTTCTGAGGTGTCTCTGGGTAGGTTCGAACCACCAACCTTTTGGCTAACAGTGGAATGTTTAACCTTTGGTGCCACCCAGGGACTCTGCCATTCCCTTAATAAGTAATTTTTAAGGCTTTCGTCCATACTGGGTTGGGCTTCTGGTGTGGCGCTGTAGGATAAGCACTGGACTGAGAACCACTAGGTTGGCAATTCACACCTACCAGCTATTCCTCACAGATGCTTTAAAGGATCTGTGAGTCAGAACCAACTTGATGGCACTTAACAACAATAACACATACTGGGTGCTAGGGACACAAAGGTGAGAAGAGAAAGAAGGTGTGTCTTCCAGTATTGTGCGGTCTAACATAGAAACCAGGCATCTGTCAAATAGTCACGAGATAATTGCAAACTCGTATGCTGTTGCGGTTGTGTGCTGTTGAATTGGTTTTGAGTTAGAATTCACCCGGTTGTAATGAGTATCCTGTGCTGGGGTTTGGGGAGGAAAACCAAGACTAGCTTTTCCCAGGAGCTCACTCCTTTCCTTGTTGTTCCGACTCATAGAGACCCTGTTTAGAGTTTCTGAGGAGTGGCTGGTGGGTTTGAACTGCTGGCCTTATAGTTAGCAGTCCAGTGCTTGTCCTACAGTGCCATACCAGGACTCTAGATGACCTGTTGTTGTTGTTGTTGTTATTGTTAACAAGTACGTTCTAACTCTTAGTGACCCTGTATAGGGTTTCTGAGGCTTTAAATCTTTGCGGGAGAAAATGAAGCTCATTTTTCTCCCATAGAGGGTCTGATGGGCTTGAACTGCTGACCATCTGGTTCATAGTCCCCTCACTGCTTATCCTATGGAGCTTCCGTGGGCCTTCCATTTCCACAAGTGCAGGTTAAGTCAGGGCCTTCCAGGGGGAGGGGGCAGTGATCCTCCCTACCTTTGCTATGGTCTACCTGCTTGGGTCTATCTGGTTGGGTGTCCCCTGATCAGGCTGAATCAGTCCGGCTGGATCCTAATTGCTTGTTAATGGCTGTAAACATTGCTCTCATTTTCAAAACACAGGTGAGGGCCTCTCTAGCCCAGCTTTCTGGGCACAGCTGGCCAGATGGCGGAGGTTTGAGGACATGGGAGAGTTTAGGGGCCTGTATGAGACTTGTTCCCAGACCCAACTTTAGAGGCTGAGAGAGGATCTGTGTGGACCCCGAGCTGTGCAGCCGCTGTGAGGGAGTGAATGACCCCCAGGCCTCTTGCCTGCTCTCTCTGCCCTCTTTGGCCAGTGGGGCACCAGCAGGAGACTGGAGGCAGGAAGGAAGGGTGTTGGTTACGCTCTCCCAGCTCCCTGGTTGTGGGAACCCCAAGGGCTGATTGTGCCAGAACCAAAGTTCCCAGCTCTTGTTGGTGGTCCTTGTCTCCCAACTGACTGTAACAAGTACTCCTCCTCTTGGGGCCAGGGGTGAGGGCAGGCAAATTCCTTTGATAAGCATTAGATAAGCTAACCGAAAGGTTGGTGGTTCAACCCCACCAGCTGCTCCTTGGAAACCATATACAGTGTCTCTATGAGTTAGGACTGCACTTAACATTAGCTCTGGGGTTGTTGTGGGCTGCCATCCACTCCAGTGGTCCTACCGGGGGTGTAGAGGTGTGGATCACCCTGGGTGACACTGTTAGAGAATATGATACCAAAATGACAGCCTCTGATATTTTTCTGCAGTGTTTCAGCAGAAAAAAACACACAAAACTCTGTTGTTATTTATAACACCAAAAATGTATTATTTTTTTCCGTAAGCCCTGCTTGTTGTTGTTGTTATGTGCCATGGAGTTGGTTCTAACTCATAGCGACCTGTGTAGGGCTTCCAAGGCTATAAATCTTTATGGGAGCAGAAAGCCTCATCTTTCTTCCACGGAACAGCTGGTAGTTTCGATCTGCTGACCTGGAGGTTACCAACCCAATTCGCAACCACTACGCTACCAGAGCTCCTTAAGCCCTCCTTACATGTATCAATATACCCACAAGGCTTGAATTCAATGCAAATTTACTTTCTGAATCTTCTACTGTGCTCTGCTCAGTGTTCTCATTATTACCCAATTACAATCCAGTTTTGTCTTCTCGATACAAACGCCTGCTATTGTGTTTGTTGCTGTCTGTGTTTTTATAGCTGCTGATTTTGTCAAATTGTCCTCTGGTAGCATTGTTGTTGTTATGTGCAGTGGAGTCGGTTCTGTCTCACAGAGACCCTGTACAGGGTTTCCCAGGCTGTAAATCTTTATGGGAGCAGAACGCTTCATCTTTCTCCCGCCGAACAGCTGGTAGTTTCGAACTGCTGACCTTGCGGCTCACAACCCGATTCGTAACCACTACGCTACGATATGCTACGTACGATATGCTATGATACGTAGTGGTTATGAATCAGGCTGCTAATCTCACAGAACACAGGGACAATGTAGGAAGAGTGCTTTTACATTGTGGGGATTGTGTACAAATTGTTGAGTAAGAAACGAATTGACTTTGTAACCTTTCACCCAAAATCACAATTAAAAGTAAAAAAAGAATCTTATATTTTCAATGTGTTGGCTCGTTCCTTCCGGGACCCTGGCTAATGTTTCCTGGGATTATAAAAGTCAGAAGACTGTTTAAAGAAACAAAGGGAGAAGATGGGGTTACTGGCTGGCTGCGGAGGGCGGTGGTGGTCAGGAGTGAGTTTGAATCACTTTCTCTGTGACCTTATGCAAGTTCCTTTAACTCTCTGGGCCTCTCTTTCCTCATCTTCAGACCAGGGGCGGCCAGCTGGTCCCTAAACTGCTCACAGACCCCGATCTTCACGGGGATGACGGTGCATCTGGATTTTCCCCTCATTTTTCAAGCTGATGTTTCCTCAGGAATGAAGTCCAACATTCTGATTCACTTGTGCATTAGCTCCTTGGAGTTCTGTCCAAGCAGACTTACTTTAAACATTTTTCTCTTCGTGTAATCTTGTAAACACTCATATCAGGGCTGTCAGGAGTAAATTCCATTTTTACCTCAGAGAAGGCCTGGTTTTATTTTTCCAAGAATCTGTGTCTGAGAGGCCTTGGAGGCCGTGGTATTGAAAACACAGAGTCACCTCAAGGGCTAGGTCTTGCCTGGTTTGGAGGAGCCTCCAGCTGCCTTGTTGTCACTTGTACCGACCTTGTGTCTGATCTTTTGTGTCAGCGTGCGAGAGTCAGAAAGTCTTTCCCCAAGTGAGGGATGTGGACGGAAGAATGAATCACTTTGGATCATTTAGCCACTTCCTTTAGGAGGAATTCTCAGTGGGTACTGGTGGGTCTTCAATACTTCACTAACATTTGCTCCTCTTAGCTTTCATGTAGAAAGTAGGCTCAGAGTCTTGACTGGCCCCTGGAATCTTGTTGTTGTTGTTAGGTGCCATGGAGTCAGTTCCGACTCCTAGCAACCTTGTGCATAACAGAACGAATCACTACTCAGTCTTATGCCAACCTCATAATTGTTGCAAGCTTAAGCCCATTGCTGCTGACACAGTGCCAATTCATCTCTTTGGGGCTCTTCCTCTTCTTTGCTGACCCTTCACTTTACCTAGCATGATGTCCTTTTCCAGGAACTGGTCTCTCCTGATAATATGTTTAAAGCATTAGAGACGAAGTCTGGCCATCCTGGCTTCCAAGGAGCATTCTGGCTGTACTGGCTTCCAATACACATCTGTTTGTTCTTTTGGAAGTCCATGGTACTTTCAATCATAATAATGTTTATATTTCCTTAAAGAAACACTGATGATGCTGTGGGTTATGCACTGGTCCGAGTTTCCAGCCCACTTGCTGCTCTGTGGGAGAAAGATGGCTCTGTCTGCTGTCATAAAGATTTACAGTCTTGAGAAGCCCAAGGAGCCATTCTTCTCTGTCCCATCAGGTTGCTAGGAGCTGGAATTACTAGCCGACCATGGGGTTTCTGGAAGCGTAGTGGTTACGAATCAGGCTACGAGCCGCAAGGTCAGCAGTTTGAAACTACCAGCGGTTCCGTGGGAGAAAGATGAGGCGGTCTGCTCCCGTAAAGATTTACAGCCTCGGAAACCCTGTGTAGGGTCACTATGAGTCGGTTCTGACTCCACGGCACTTAACAACAACATGGGGTTTAGTTTCATATTCCCTTACATGCCCCTAGGTGGCGCAAGCAGTTTAGCATTCAGCTGCTAATTGAAAAGTTGGGAGTTCGAACCCATCTAGAGACATCTCTGAAGAAAAACTTGAAACTTAATTTCTAAATGGTAACAGCCATTGAAGACCCTGGGGAGCACAGTTTTACTCTGACCCACATGAGGGCACTATATGAGTCAGACTCCACCCTAATTGGTTGACAGTGTATTTATGTTTTACAGTTATCTTTTATGGTATATGAAATTCATGGCCCATTTAAGTTAGTGCTAGGAAGTCCAGGTTCAAAAGTAAGTCAGTATTAAAGAAATGATTGTAGAGACCACAGAGGTGTGACAGAACTTTGCTTGTGGAAGGACAATGCGGGCAGAGAACCTAACCTACAACATCTAGTTGTACCCTTGACACAAACAAGGCCCAGCCTGCCAGGGAGGAATCTGCGTCCACATCCACTGGGCATGGTATTTCTCTCTGTAAAGTGGGGAGCACCGTAGCAACAGCCCTGCCCTTAAGTGAGTGAACACAAGCCAGGTGTGTGATGGGGTACCCACACGTGGCCCTGTGCTCAGTGGTGGCATCTGCTCTTTCTGTGTCATCTGAGAGTTGCAGAGTCTCACATGCATCTGTGTCAGCCACCAGGAGGTGGGAGGCCGGGGAGTCCGCAGGGCC